ATGCTTTTGGGAAACGCAACCCTATTTGAACAAGCACTCTGAGCCATGCGTCAGCAGCGAACGCTGTCTGTGATTGATTGGTTCTGTCTTTCAGCATTTGCGTGTGCAGGAGAAATGGTTCTATTCAACACAATTATTCGCTAATATAGTCTATTTTTCCACTTAAAAGCTTATTTTTCATCTGTACGGAACATCATTGTGTACGGAACATGGTTAGTCTGTTACCCAGAAAAATTCCCATATGACAGACTTTGTCTTTTTCGACGAGGGAAAAAGTTCCAGGAATTCATCTCCTTCGGCCATCCCACACACAGGTGACTCTGCTCGCACCAACCAGAGGGGGAGAGGTCGTGTGACTCGCTACGCTCTTCGCTGCACACAACTGAGGGAGTCCTGCACTTTCCGTCTTTGACTACACGTAAAAAAAACAGCGCATACCGCAGGAACGGTATAACGGAAAATTTTTGTGGTTTTGAAACCGTGACTTTCCCCAAACCGCGGTATACCTTGAAACCGGTTATCGTCCCATGCCTAACCACCGGTATTTAAAAAAAAACCTGGTACCGTAACGTTTTCATTTTTTTAGTACCAACTTGGTACCGAAGTACCGGGTCTTTTGACAACACTACTCTGTAGACACTATCATTGTTCAATATTACCTCATTACATCACTTGTACCCAAGTTTGTACTCAGTACTGTATACAAATAAATGCAGCCTGGTGAGCATAAGAGACTTCTTCCAAATACATTTAAAAATCTGACCAACACCAAACTTCTGAGTGGTAGTGTACGTGTTATTTTTTTCCTAAACTGAGCATTATTTTCTGTGGTAATCAACAGTATGCCACAGATACTGTCGATAGAGCTTGAATTTAACCTGTAATGTTCCGTTTAGATGAAACTTTTTAAAAGCTGCATTTGTTTTGTTGTGTATTTAAGCAATAAGGTACTATAAAGTTGTGCTATTTCGCACAACAAAGTGCCTAACTCATTAGCTATTTGGTAATCTAAATGTAAAAATTGGGTAAATGGTCTTGCACAATTAAATATCCAATACCAGCCAATACATATCCAACACTGACCAATATAAAATATTTAAAAACTCTAACATCAGCGGATAACCAATATGGTATTAATATATATTGTGCATCTATCCTTAGTTAGAAAAATGCAACAGAAATAACAATCCTGTGGGAGCTGTGCAGTGATGTGGTAGACAGGTGTTTTACTACGACTATATTATGGCTTAAATTTGGTTTATAAACTGGCAAAGCCAAATTTTTCCAGTGGTGGAAGTGGGCGACTGTAAAGTACATATCAGAGTTGGATCATTAGCAGGGTGGAATGAGAGTTAGCTGAATAGAGCTTTGTAGTCTTGGGACTCTCTGTGTTATATCACCTTCGCTGCATTGACTATAGCTTTGACTCATGACTCTTTTGGCTTAACGAAACAGATGGAATTTTCCTCCCACCCTCCTGTAAGCACTCTGTTTTTTACCCTTTTACATCTGATATTATGGAACCAGCCCCAGCCAGCCAATCAATACAATTATGTATGACGTAATTGTTCAGCTCTCCAGAGCAAGGTATAATCAGTTTAATGATCACGTGCTATGAACTGATTGTATTTTGATATTACTTATATTACAGTATTATATGATATTACAATGCATTCAAACCTGAAAGAACATTTTCAAGCGTACGGTTTGCAAATTCACCTCACTGTTGTTCTGTTAAAGGTCACCTCCGGCTGCTCTTTAGCACGTTTGTGTAATTTGCGGTTCACTTTGCTTTGCATTAATCTGTTGTGTGAAAAAATTCCCCAAGAATAAGCTCTGGGCAATGGTGCATTTGTGGTAGAAGAGAAAAAATGTGGTCATATGGATAGTGATACTTATCACGATGAGTACAGGATGTAGAATTAGTTGCGTGTCAGTGTCTGAAGAACTTTACAGAGCGCAACAGCGCCATTATGCAGAAAGAGAACTTTACCCATTTATGACAGTCCGCAGACAGGCTGTCATTTAAGTGTGAGTAAAATAGGTGGCATGAAGAAAGCATGAAAAAAGTATGCTAATAAACAACATATAAATAAACCTCCATGATGATCATAAGGCTGATTTAGCATGTACGCGACGGCAAATATGAGAATCAGCCATAATAAGCTGAAGTGAAACATCTGTCAGTTAGTGTCTGGGTTGTTGTTGTGTCTGGGTTTTTTCCAAGTGTGTGGTTGCTGACGGTTTGTGCAAGCTGCAAAGATGTCTCAAAGATCACTCTGGAGAACGAGGCAAATGGTGTCCAACCGATGCTTGGTAACAGGTGCGTTGTGGGAAACACGGTTGCTCAGATGCCGCTGACTAATTGGGGCTTATCAGGTATTGCTGGGAAGCGCAAACAACACCTGGGACCTTTGTCGAGCTGTCATGGGGATATGGGCAGGGTCCTGCCCGAGACTGGGGTCCTCAGTTCTGGTTTCACTGATGACGGAACGAGAGCTGGAAATCATATGGTTGTCATGTGAACTGTAAGAGCGACCTTTATGATGAGTCAGTTCTGAGCTACAACAGTTTAATCTACAAAGATTTCTTAAAGCTATGTATATCCGTTGCACTTTTGCCACAAAACAAGTGGCTTGCTGCTGTGCTTCAGCACGTTTCCTGCCGCACGTATTACACCTGTAAGAATCCGAATAAACTTCCTCTGCTCTGCTTTTGTGTCTCTCGCTTCCACCAAACCTTTCCCACATTAACTGTCTTGCTCTCCACCAGTCAGCTATCAAGTCTGAACAGGATGTTAGTCTTCTGACACCACAAACACTTCCTTTGGCCTATAGCAGTGTAGTTGTGTACAGGAAGACAGCTCTTGTTGGCCAGCTGGACTGTGGAGACCTGCTACTGGAGATGCATTCACGTTTTTGTCTACGTGCCCTTCATATGAGCGTCTTATTAATCTTTCATTATGATGAATTAGTTTTTTCTTTAGAAGAAGAGACAAAAGATTCATTATTTAGGCAGGACGATCTGGCGTCCCTTCCAGCCTGCAGTTGAAGGACAGGGCGGGTGGGGGTAATGGTGAAGTGGGGTAGGCCGGAGACGGCGCTGCTGAGTCTGACAAACCAGACCATCAGGTTTCACATGCTGTCAAATCCCTAGATGAAAGGCAGCAAAGGTCTCCACAGTAACACTGAGGTCCAGACTGCATTGAGGACCTTGCAGACGGCCCAGTGAAATCACAAACATGAGTTGTCGGCAGCGAAACTACCCACTCAAACCTGTTCTGAGAGTGAAATTTCAGTGGGTGGATCTAGAGCTGTTTTGAAACACATCCATCAGTTTCTGAGAAGGCGACTCGCAGATTTTGATGGGTAATTTAAGTTTTGGTCTGACACTCTGTTGGTTGTTTAAAGTGTGAAAAAAGTGTTTACTGAAAATAGCTCGAATGGGACAACTTGTGTCTGGTAGTTGATGCATGGTGTAATTTTGGACCGGTGTACAAGTAGAGAGTATCAAGTGAAACGCAACCTGGACAAGGATGCCATTGTTCTTCACTGCTGCTCAAGGAAATGGCCTTGCTGGATATTATTGGCATTTGGCAGCAGGATTGTGCCACTGTCTATGCAGCTGTACCTTATTGTGTTCTTCTAGGACTAGGTGACTGAGACACGCTTCCTGGTATGTTTACATAAGCCGGCATCTGTGATTCTGTATGTGAGGGGTGTTGAACTGTGTGCAGCAAACAGTGATGTTGAAGTGAGGTGGGTGCGTCACAGATATCTCAGATTCCTGCCTTTGTCTCCAGATACCATTCCACATGGTTGCATAGTCTCTACAGTGACTCTGGCCTGACGGGGTATTTGCGTCTTTCAGTGTTGAGGCTTTGGCAGCTTTGCTCTGGCTGTGCTGATGGTGTGTCTTGGGCAGTGGTCCTAATTCAGTCAAGAACATCTATGCATAAAATTACAATGATAGTGTCTTTCATTCTCGCTGGAACGTGCTGATGACGTATCATGTCTGCGCAAACAAGGTGCGCAGAGGTAAGCAAATACATATTTTGACAGGCAGGCAGGACAGCCTGTCGTAATGTTCGGACCGAACATTTTGATTAGACGAACATTTTATGGTCCTACGCCTTCCACAGACGATATAAATACATATAAATAAATTTAGACCACTTCACTTAGTGATTGCTATCGGGATGTGAAGAGACTTTCAACCAGCATAACAAAAAAAAATTTTTAAACCAAATCTGCTACCCTGCCTTTTAAGTCACAATGTCATATAGAATGTCATCTTTTCTTCTGTAATATGACACATCAGAGTAAACTGAATTATCAAAAAATATAGGTTGGGGACTTTATTCTATCATTGGTTGTTGTTGATTGGATGGAGGCAGATCTGATTGAGAGCTTGCAGTATTGCATATGTCACTAAAGTTTTTCTTGTTTCAACAGAACTTCATGTTAAGATATTTACTTAAATTATGTTGTAATTAAGAAATAAAACATAAAATAATTGTTCACTGTAAGATCATTAAGATGCATATAGAAAATGGTGAATTACCATTTCAAGCCAACTTTTTTTTTTTTACAATAGTTCTTGGACAAATATTATCTATTCTGAACTGTTCTGATAAATGGCTGAACACATGGATATTATGTTGGATATTACATTTTCCACAATTGTGTGGCTACAAAGTAGTAGTAGTTCCAGTTTTCATTGCATTACAGTTGCATGTCACATCTCGACATTATTTCAGATGAACAGAACTTCAAAGATGTGCATAGTGTACCATATCAAAACAACAACAACAAAAAAAGAGGCATTGGGCAAGCAAATTGTATGACAAACTATTTTAACTTCGAACTTATGCAATTTATTCAGCTAGCAGAAAGCTGAATGGGGCAACTCTCCAGCCTAAAATCTAAAATACTGTAATTATATCTAATATTGTGACTATATGTCTGGAGCCAGGGCAGACACGCAGGTAATCACGCTTGCTTGCTCACCGCAATAAGAAGTTCCACTCTGCCATGTTCTTCTTCATCGGGAACCTGGCCTTCTCGGACCTACTGGCTGGCTCCGCCTATATTGCCAACATCTTCCTGTCAGGCCCTAAAACATTTCATTTGGTGCCTGTCCAGTGGTTCATACGAGAAGGGACTGCTTTCATCGCACTGGCTGCCTCAGTTTTCAGCCTGCTGGCTATCGCCATAGAGCGCTACATTGCCATCACCAAGGTCAAAGTTTACGGCTCCAACAAAACTTGCCGCATGTTCCTTTTGATCGGAACGTGCTGGGTGATGTCCATCCTTCTGGGAGGGCTTCCCATTATTGGTTGGAACTGTATTAATAACCTGGGGGATTGCTCCGCTGTCCTGCCTCTCAACTCCCGATACTACATCCTGTTTGTCGTCACCATCTTTACTATAATCTTGCTGTCCATTGTGATCCTTTACGTTCGCATCTACCTTATTGTGCGTACCAGCCACCAAGAGGCCACCAATTCTCCAGCTTACGCTCTCCTGAAGACTGTCACGATCGTACTTGGCGTTTTCATCATTTGTTGGTTGCCCACCTTCACCATCCTTCTCTTGGACACTTCTTGTTCGATGAAAAAATGTCCTATCCTCAACAACGCTGACATCTTCTTCAGCATCACCACACTGAATTCGGCACTGAACCCGCTGATCTACACGTTGCGGAGTAAGGACATGAGGAAGGAGTTCCTCAGGGTGCTTTGCTGTTGGGGGCTGCTCAATTGTGGCAGGCCTCCTCACCGCTGCATGGTGCCACTCAAGAGCTCGAGTTCAATGGAGCACTGCACCAACAAACACGAACATCAGTCAATTCCCATCATGCAGGACTGTACTACTTGTGTCTGATTTCGTCTCCTCAGTGCCCAGGTGTTTGAAGACAAGGGGAGACCCCAGGCAAGGCACAGAAGACAGAAGTGTTCAGAGACCTCACTGATGAAACGAGAATCACAATCAATGTCTTCGGACTCTTGGACATTTAGGGCAGATATCACAGCTGTGCTACCGGACGCTCACGTGTCCTTTTGTTGCTTCTGTCCTTGCAAAAGTTCCTGAACATCACAGAATGAGACTTCACCACGTATTTTACATTTTAAGGCAAAATTAAAGAAAGCCAAATTCAAATGGGAATATCCATTTAAGCTCTTTGACAAAACATGAACAATTTAAAGTTGCACTTTGTAGACTTCTATGCAGCTTGTGATTGTATATTTCTCATATGCTGACCAACCTACCAGAAGTCGCATACAAGATGTATCCTATCCACAAATAGACTACCACTGTCTTGGTTCAGAGATTTGAGAGGACAGATTGAAATGTACGGATCGACAATGCACTCCATGTGAGCCAAACAACCATGCATGCTTGCAGAACCTCTCCTAATGTATTCATCAAATTACTTGATATACATAACATCCTTTGATTACCGACAATAAAAGTATTCTTCATACTTCATTGTATTGCATGAAAGTCTAACCTGTGTAAAAACTAATATGTATGGCCAACCCATGTACAGTTGTCAATGTTACTCCTCTTTGTCCATATTGTCCATCTAAACTCACTGTCCCTTAATATTTTATTTTTCTTTAACATTCCTAATTTTTCCTAAGAGGAAAGCACAATCAGAATGTGATAACTGAATTCCTGATATGAGTTTCTCTCAGCAGCTGGTGTAAATGCTGGTTGTGTTGGCATGACAGTGCCGTAGCTTCGCTGCGGCAGCGTATGCTTCGTTTTGTGCCCTCTTGACGAATTGAACTGAATATAAGAATGAAGTGTTACGAGCGAACATTTTCGCTGATCGACAGTATTACCGAACATCATTGTTCTCCTGTTGATTATTGAGCTTGCAGCAACAAGAACGGACACTCACTGTGAAGTCTTAATGACGTTTAAAGTCAATTGAAATTGATACGCCATTGATAAGACAGGAAACTTTGAGATTAGGACAAATTGAGCATGCCTTTCTCTCTTTTGAAGGTATATTCATTTTGAGATATGGGGGTTGTTAGGTGTTATGCTGTCTTTTAATAGGCCACAAGTCTTTAGAAGAAACTTTAAACTTCCTGCAACCACTGGAAGTCCAGTATTTCCTATGCTTCTTCCCGTTGTTAGGGACTGACCTTAATGTTCCTATACGTTAATATCATCAGTCCAACACTTTCACTCACACAATCACAGCCATTGACTGTTTGATCCCAGCATGTTTTAGTTTCCTCTGCTGATCGGTTTAGTTCAGCAGAGAAAGCACTTTGGCAGCTCTTCCAGTACCGACCTAATGTATTTTGGTTTTTCTTTCTTTCTTTCTTTTTTTAATGCATGAAGAGTTTAAGCCTGTGTGAGCATCCCTATCACTCCGTTCAATGTAAAACATTGCCTACCCTGTGGAACAATGTTTATTTTATATGATAAATATATGAAAGTCTGTATGTATCCGTGTACAGTATGTATGTAATGTGTATACGTATAGAATGTCTTGTGTGCAATAGCCTTGTGTTTTAGTAGCAAGCTACTTGTGCTAAATCGGTACAATCCCAAACACTAATGTCGGTACATACACATTAGTTCATTCCTTTTTAAAATAAAAATAAATTAAATACAAAAAAAAAGTGTTGCTTTGTTGTTATTCTGTTTTATATTTTTTAAAGTTGTAGTTGAAAATATCTAGATTGACAGTTTCACATATGCTTTTAGCATACACTTAAAAGTGGTTGTTGTGTGCGTGACAGAAATGATTAATGCCACTATGTAATTTGCTTCAAGTTTCAGTCCTATGCAGTATTGGGTTAACAATCTGAACACAAGAGCTTTATCCCACATATTACAGAAATCTGATTAGACAATAAAAAAGTGAAACTAAATGCTAACATGCATGAACATGGTTAAGGCCCGACTCGCTATGACATGAATCTATTCACAAACAATATTGCCTAGAACTGCTGGCCTTGATTTCTGACAGTCCAATAAGTGCCAATTCCAAGGTTTTGTGGGAGTGCAGATGTTTAGCCGAAGGGTTTAACAGGAAAGAGGGAGTACAATGATAGATCAAAAGGAATAGCATTATGGGAAAGGGTTGTCTGGGAGGCCGAGGGTGCTCTTGGCACAAAAAAAAAAAAAAGGATTGTGAACTCTGACTGAGTGGGCTTAAGGATGGTCTGGCCTGGTTGTTGTCAAACATCCAGAATTCCTAGGTGGGAACAGCAACCCGCCCTGGGAGACAGCACAGCTGGGAATATGGCCAAGAGTCAGCAGGAAGTGACATCAGCCATACTGAAACAACTGCAAACATATACAGTTGTTTTCAGTACAGTCTTTATGATTAATGACCATCCTGTACTCCCACTCCCTCCGGCATATGTGAGAACACGTTTGTTCTGAGAAGACATAGCAGAAACTACAATTGATGTACAAGAGTGTCACCTTGTGGTCGGACAAAGAAAATATTCTAACGGTATTTGTTAAAAAAATGTACTGGCTTGTTGCGCCATCTACAGGATAAACTAAGATTACAAGATTATGATCATAGGATCAGAATGATGAAAAAGAAAGAAAGAAAAAGAAAAAGCATGCAATTTAAGCATATCTTCATTTCTAAATGATATTTTTGATTGAAATTTTTTTTGTTTAAATGCAAATGCAATATAAAGTTCATTTGATTTTGGAAAATGTGGGGGAAAATGTGTTATTTAAATTTTCGTTTAATTATTTAAACGTGTTAATATTGATTTTTGGTTATCTTTATTTCAAAGGTCTGTATACTGCATTTATGTATGTATGTATTTATTTATTTGTTTAAATGCCATTCTTATACTTTATTAAATATGTAAATTATTTATTATTTATTTAAATAATATAACACTGTAATTAAAATTAATTCTAATTCTAAATACTAAACATATAAACTTAATTTAAACAGACTGGAACTGGTCGGCTCGGTGTCAGATTTCTATTCGTCACCGGCAGTGTTAAATATTTACATCGGAAGCGTTAATGAAAATGAGGAGTGAATTTGCACCCCTGAGGGAAGGCAAAATGTGGTACATCCCATATTGGTTGAGACTCTGAAGCCGTAGAAGGGGTACACACGAAAATAATCCTTGAAAACAATTTAAGATTTCATATTCTTTCACTATTAAAGTTTATATTTCATAATATTGCTAAGTTTTCCATATACTCAAAACAATGTATCTGAACAGTTTTAAACCCAAATAGAAACGCACAACTCATTTGACACATTTGACCCCCGTACTTTAAATTAGTGGTAGCGTCCAACTCACCCGCGTTTCCGCGCGAAAAAGCGGCCCGCGCGTATTTCTCAGCCGCTAGCGACAATTCATAAAGCCCGCTTCTGTTGGCACTAGATCTTAATCACAGCTTTTATCTGTTGTTTTAAATCGTGTTTTTAATTAGTCATTTTCTTTGATTAAACTCGAACTTGAAATGCCTACCAGGACCTCATTGTCTTTGCCAGAGGATGTCAAGGAACGGTACGGTGCTGTATTTGCCCTAATGGAACTAACTATAGACTGACTTTCATAGTTTGCTCTTTTCGCGGGCTTTGCTCATTGCTGGTTACACGTTGATCTCGTCGCATAACAGCCGTTGTATTATGTGCTGTTTGGAGATGAAAAACATGTTAAGTTTTTACTCTAGTTAGCATTTAGCCGTGCTACAAATGCTGTACCCGCCATCAGCTCGCGTGTAGTGGGTAAAACAGGCGGCGGCTGGTTGTTTTGATGCAAACCGAGTCACAGGTGTCAGTCTGACTGCATTTGGCGCCAAATACACGTGTCAGAGTGAAGCCCTGCCCGCCTCCTATCTCTACTCAATCACTGCACAGGTCATTGGACTCATACCTACTGAATCCTGCTGCGTTTAGTGTAACTTACTCAAAATCATCTGGTGACGTTAACAATAAATACCGACTGTCTCTGCGTGTGTGCTTGTTTACTTGCGTAAATTAATCCCATGATAGCGTCTCTCTCTGATGAGACTCAGCTGAAGATATAACTTTAAGTATTAAGATTAAATGTTAAAGATTGTAATCTAATTTTAAATGTTTATTGCACGTCGAGTCATTTTGATCTTTTTTTTTTTTTTTTTCAAATTGTGTGGAGATGTGCTGTGCATTAATGAGATGTTTACCTTCATGTTCCCAGGCTTCAGGTGCTGGATGAAGGTGGAGACAGTTTGTCAGATGAGGTGAGGGGTTTTCATAGCAGTCTTATGAATTATATTCAGATCAAACGGTCAGGTTATTGGTGATTTCTACATGCCCTTCATGTAGTGGAAGTAAGTAGTTTCATATGATGCGATTTCAATTTTTCCTTTCTCTTTGGAGTGTTACAAGCTCTTGGTGCATAAAGAAGATCTGTAAAGTTGCAAAGGTTTTTTATATTAAAAGAACTTGCCAATGATTCAAACGAGTTTTGAGCAGTGGACAGTAGGCCTTGTTGTTTGTCATTTCTCCGATCACAAATGCAGACATGGTTTTATGTTTACGCGGCGCGATGCAACGCGTAAAAAGACTGTATGAGTCATTATAATCCATAATTATGTCCCCACTGGATGCAACGAATATCTCGTTTATAATGGGTTTTATTGTTTTTGAATCATCGCTCTGGTCGGACAGGGCATCACAGTATGGTAGGGGCGTAACATTTCCGTCACACGCTTGAGGTATTCGGCCAATCATAACGCAATGGATAGCTGGCCAATCACAGCACACCTCGCTTTTCAGACCGATGAGCTTTGTAAAAATTGATGTGTTTCAGAAAGGCGGGGCATAGATGAGAAATAATATACAGTATGTGGAAAATGTGTTTTTTGAACCTTAAACTGCGTAAATGCATTTCATTACACCAAATACACAAAATAATGTTATTTTTAGCAACATCATATGACCCATTTAATAACAGTTACTGTATATCTGGTCCAACACATCCTCTTATTTATTTTATTTTTTTAGGAAGAATTTATAGGCAAATTGTCTGCGACTCTAATTTCATGCCAACATTTATATCAAAATATCTTTACTGCCTAAGATTTATGTGTGAATTATTGTAAACATAATACTTTATAGAGTTGCTCAAACAGTAGACCATGGGCAACACTAAGGTAATGGGTTCAAATGTGTCCCAAGGAAAGCAAAAACTGATAATGTAAATGTGTACCTTTTTTAAAGCGTCTGCCAAACTCATTCATTTCTTGAATGTTTCTGTAGTTTTACTTGTTTTCTTTCTTCATTGTGTAGGAATGTGTAAAGGAAAAGCTCAGGTTACTGCAGGAGTTCCTGCTTGCTGATACTCAGGACCAGCTCAAAATCCTTGAGGACAAGTTAAAGAGCTCCGAGCTTTCCACTGTGAGTTACGCTGCCCTTTCAGTTCTCCTGTATAGAACTGTTGAGAACTTGTGCTCCAACTTGTCTTCCTGTTTAGGAGGTTTACACGTCAGAGGTGAAGGCCGTGCTGAAGAAAGCTCTGGGAGTTGTCAAGGAGGATGAAGGAGTGGAGCAGAACGGACATTCAAATGGCTTCTCTGAAAATGGGTCTCACAAAGACGATGGTGAGCAGGAGGGAGCCATGGATACTCAGGAGGAAGGAGATGCTATGAAGTCTCCCAGCGCCCCGAAGGGAAGGGGAGGCCGTCGCAGTAAAGCAGATTCTGAGCCCAAGAGTGAGTTGCAGGGGTTTACAGCTTTTAATTGCCCTCCATATGTTACAATGCCTGTATCTCTACATTGATATGATTGTAAATGATGTATTGAAATTATATTGTTAATGTTGCCGTGAATATAGCTATTGTTGTTGATATGGCATTAAAACACAAGTATGTCTACATTGTGTGCTGGATGTAGAATATTTAGTCTTTAAAAATGGCACATTTTGTTCCCCAACAGAATCTCCAGCCAGTACCAGGGTTACGCGTAACTCTGGAAAACAGCCAACTATCCTTTCCATGTTCTCTAGAGTGTAAGTCAACATTTTTAAGAGTTGTCCTCTTGTTCAAATCTGATGTGCAGTTTGTGAAGTGACAGTTTTGCACTTGGGCAGTTGAAATCAAATTGAGTTTGAATTAGTCTTTGGCAGGGCTACCCCCTAATAGTCGACTAATCGTTAGTCGACCAAAATGTTATTAGTTGCTTAGTCGCAGAAGAAAAAAATCCACAGGCAAAGTCACGTAGTCCGTGATGGACAGATTGTTAATGGCTAGTCTGTGGTAATACAGTACATCCAGCAGGACATCCAAATGCTCGCCTATCATTCATCCACCACAAATATGGCTTATCTGAAACTTGTAAGTAGCAGCAACGTTACATGGCCTCTCAATCTAATGTTAACCTAGAGAAATGTCCGCTATTCAAGTGTCTGTGTGGAAGCTGAAGCGCGCTCACTGCAGGACAGATGGAGGCGCCGGTGCGCTCACTTGCTCTAAAAATACTGTAATTTTTGGTCATGCAGATAAGAGTAATACATCTTTCAAATCTGTAAAGACTCTACGTTTATTTGTGTGCACTCACAATGATGACAAAACGCGCTTTTGTAAAATAATGAAAGCAAACAGGATGCGCTTTCTGCCGTCTCGGTCTGT